TGCGGGGGCCTCCGGGCGGACTGAGGGGGCTGCGGGCGGACTGCGGGGGCTCCGGGCTGACTGAGGGGGCTCAGGGCGGACTGCGGGGGCGAGCTGCGGGCTAACTGCGCGCTGACTGCTCCCTGCAGGGCCACTTCATCGTGTGGGAGGGGGCGCCGGGCGCGCGGATGCCCTGGAAGGGCCATCACCGCCACGTTTTCCTGTTCCGCCACCACCTGGTTGTTTGCAAGACCAAAAGGGATTCCCGCACCGACACCTTCAGTTACGTCTTCCGGAACATGATGAAGGTGCGCGGGCGCCGCGGGCGCCGCGGGAGCCTGGGGGCAGGGGGCGGGCCAGCAGAAGCCTGTGTTGAGGCAGTCAGCCTGCATTCCCCGCCACCCACAGCTGAGCAGCATCGACCTGAACGACCAGGTGGAGGGTGACGACCGTGCCTTCGAGATCTGGCACGAGCGGGAGGACTCGGTGCGCAAGTACCTGCTGCAAGCGCGCACGGTCATCACCAAGAACTCGTGGGTGAAGGAGATCTGCGGCATCCAGCAGCGCCTGGCCCTGCCCGTGTGGCGTGAGTGCTCCTGCCTCTGGCAGGCGGGGAGATCACACTCAGCACCTGAGCCTTTCTGGCCCCCCCGAGCCTCAGCCCCCTGCCCCGGTTGTGGGAGGCACGAAGGATAGGCTCCATCTGGGGCACAGTCAGCTCAGCCTTTCGTGAGCCTGAGCTGGGGTGTAGGGCTGACCTTGACCTGAGTGCAGGGAAGCTTCAGGGTTCACACAGGGGCCCCCCAGCACAGGACAGGTGCCCAGATTGTGTTAGGGACGGGAAGGGCCCCCTGGATGGAAGGTCGAAAGGGGCAGTGTCCGTAACAACCATACCCCTGGACGCTGGGGCTTCTGACCAAGGACATGGGGGCACCACCATCCCACCCACCAGGAGCTCAGAGTCTGTGCGTGTGTGCGCCCAGATCCCCCAGATTTCGAAGAGGAGCTGGCGGACTGCACAGCAGAGCTGGGCGAGACCGTGAAGCTGGCCTGCCGTGTGACGGGCACCCCCAAGCCCATTGTCAGCTGGTACAAAGGTAGGCTGCTGCAGACAGAGAGATGTGGACGCTGCACCTGCAAGAGCCTTCCAGAGGGAATTGGGCCTGGTCGGGGGCCCTCGGGGGGCGCGAGGGACAGGTGTCCTCTTCCAGTGGCTGACTCAGCCAGCTTGGCTGGGAGCAAGGCTAGACGAGGTGGTTCAGAGCAGAGGGTGTGCCCCCGTGGTTCAGACTCAGTGACCCTACCCGCTCCAGATCTCGTTCCTTGGCTGTCTTGTTTGACGAGTTTGCACCAAGGGCTAGCACCCTGTTCCAGGTATCGGGGACGCAGCGGCAAATAGGCCCTGCCCAAGGGTGCTGGCCGTGTAGGGGGCTAGACTGATGGCAAACCAGTGGACAAACAAAGTGGGGAGGTGGTGTGGCTGGCCAGAGAAATGAGGATGGAGGGTTAGCTGGCAGGTCTCTCTGGCAGATGTGCAGGAGCTCTGGGGGGCCAGCCAGGTGGCCAGGAGAGGGCAGGATGGACTCTGAGGCCCGCCCTGTCGTAGGGTCTCAGGTTTGGCTCTGGATGTGATGGG